TGGAGACCCTTCTGTTCACCTGAAGATTGAGTGTGGCAGGACTTTCTGTGTTTATTAAACACATCCAAGTTTCTCTCCACACCTACAGAAATAGAAACAGCCCCAAACGCTTGCCACTGAATGGGTGAGCCAAATAAGGAGAGGGTGTCTCTGCTGGAGACCCGCTTGCTTTGTAGTCCAGGGAGGAGGAGGCTTGGGTTGTAGGCGTGGTGCATCAGTGAGGACGCAAGGTTACAAAAGGAGAGATGAATTTAATCCCACGAAAGAACTGAGAGCACGTCAAATAAGGGCCCAGAGAGGCAAAGGTCAACCTAGCCTCATCCTGCCTGATGCCCCTTCCCTCCTGCTTTCTAAATTTCAGCCCACTATTTTCCATGGCAACTGGGAAGCACAAAGGCTGGGATTTTTACCTAAGTAGATTAATTTACAACTTGAGGAAGTGGTGGGCAGGGAACAGACACACGGTGTATTTCCTTCCCTCCAGTGTCAGGACTTAAATAAACTGCAAGGAGAAAGTAAAAATAAATCGGACAGGGAGTGTGGTTTCCAAGCAAAGCAGTCCTCAAGAATTTTGTTAAGATGTCAGCCATCCCCCAGGGGCCCACACTGGCACCCTGTGATCAGGGTCCTGTCAGGAAACGGCAGCTTTGATACGGCGGGTCTGGAACCACTGGAAGCCGCTCGGAGCCTGGCAAGGCAGAGATGGGGCCTTGGAAACACGTCACAGACTAAGCGTTATAACACTAACCATTTTCTCCCAAAGGAGCAACCTTATAAATGGGTGATGAATTCTTCATAGGAATGGAAACTACATAGATTCCAGGAAACAACCGGAGAGATGCCACACGAGCAGCACTTATCTAACCATCTCAATCCTTTAAAATCGCCAGTCCCTGGCCAGGTAGCTCAGTTGGTTAAAGGGTCGTCCCGACCAAGGTCGAGGGTTTGGTCTCTGGTCAGGGCACATACAGGAATCAACCAATGAATGAATAAATAAGTGGAATGACAAGTTGATGTCTTTCTCTTTCCCTGTCTAAAATCAATGAAAAAATTATTAAATTGTATTTAAAGTCTTTAAAAATGGGTAAAAATGTATGGTGCCTGTGATACTCCACCAGTGGCCAACAGGGTTCTTGGGTGGGGGTATACATCTTTTGAATGAAGGAGGAAGTGAAACTTTACATACAAATAAAAAAGGGTCACAGACCTGGAGCACACATTTCCTCTCACTCAGTGATTCTCAAACTTCTTGGTGCCACTACTCCTTTATATTTTTTTTAAATGACTGGAAATCTCAAAGAGCTGTTGTTTATGTGGTTACATCTACTGGTGGTTACTATATATAAATTAAAACAGAATTTAAAAAAAATATGTTTTAATAGATTTTTTAGAGCGAGAGGGAGGGAGAGAGAGATGGAAACATCAATGTGAGAGAGAGACATCGATCGGATGCCTCCTGCACACCCCCTACTGGGGATTGAGCTGGAAACCCAGGCTTGTGCCCACTGGAAATCAGACTTGGACCTCTCAGTCCATGGGACAATGCTCAATCTGCTGAGCCACACTGGCTGGGCTAAAACAGAACTTTTAAAAATAATTTTTATTAACTGACCTAAAAATAATGGCAATAAATCTATTTACTATTTGGTGTTAACATTAATATAATATTTTTATGAAAAATAGTTTCTAAAGTAAAATAGTTTTCAAAACAAAATAAATAGGGAGCATAAGGGCATTATTTTACATTTTTGTAAAACTTAAAAACAATTTTTTTTCTTTATTGATTCTAGAGAGTGAGGAAGGGAGAGGGGGAGAGACAGAAACATCAATGAGAGAGAACATTAATTGACTGCCTGCTGCATGCCTCCCACTGGGGATTGGGCCCACAACCTGGGCATGTGCCCTGACTGGAAACTGAGCCGACGATCTCTTGGTGCACAGGCTGATGCTCAACCGCTGAGCCAGGCTGGCTGGGCTTTTTGCAAAACTTTTAAATGTGCCCCTTAAGAGAAGACAGCTGGATTCTTCCCTCGCTGGTTTGGCTCAGCAGTTACAGCATCAGCCGATGGACCAAAGAGTCACTGGTTCAATTCCGGTCAAGGGCATGTACCTTGGTTGCAGTTCAGTCCCCAGCCCTGGTCGTGCAGGAGGCAACCGATTGATGTGTCTCTCTCACATGGATGACTCTCTCTTTCTCTCTCTCCCTCCCACATTAAAGATAAATGAAAAAATATCCTCAGGTGAGGATTAAAAAAAAAAAAAAAAAAAAAAGACAGCTGATTCTTGTATGTCCTGCATTCAATCTGTTGTGCTATCATGTGTCTGCTTCTGGAAAACTCACATGCACATTCATAAAAGAATGAGAGTGAAAAAAGCAAATATTGTCCAGTATTAATATGAAAGTAGTTTTGACCTCATGGGCCTCCTGAAAGAGACATCCAGGGGTCTCCAGCCCTTACCTCTAGAGCCACCACTCCAGCTCAGTGTGCCAGATAAAATAAATATCAAACATTTGCTTGGCTTACAAGCCATTTACATGGCTTCCCTTCTTGGTATGTACAGTAGGCAGAATTATAAGATTGACCCATTTCCTATTCCCTTGTTCACATACTCCTATATAATTTGGGGAACTTGTGAAAATGAAGGAATAGTTACTCCTATGATTACGTTATGTATATGGCACAGTTGACTTTAAGATGGGAGACTATTCTGGGAGTATCTGACCTAATCAAGTGAACCCTTAAAAGGAATCGGGCTCCTGAAGAATAGATTGAAGTGTGTAATTTCATTCAATTGAACACAAGTGAGATTCTCTGTTGCTGGCTTTGCAGGTGGAAGGAGCCATATGGCAAGGAATGCAGGGAGCCTCTATAGCTGAGACTAACCCTTCGCAGATAGTTGGCAAGGAAACAGGGACCACAGTCCTACAGCCACAAGGAACTGAATACAGCCAATAACCTGAATGAGCTGAAAGAATTTTTTACTCAGAGCCTACAGAAAGGAATACAGCCTGGACAACACCCCGATTCAGCCTGGGATACCCTAAGCAAAGAACCTAGTCACACAATGCTTGAACTTCAGACCTACAGAATTGTGAGATAATGAATATTGTTTTAAGCTGCTAAGTTTGTGGTAAAGTTACAGAGCAATGGAAGACTAATACAGTATGTACTATTTTAAACTACACAAATAATTATAAATACATCTTTCTTGTAAAAAATGAATACATTATTGAGAGATTAAAAGTTCCCTTTGAGCCCTGGCAGGTTTGGCTCAGCAGTTAGAGCACCAGCCCGCGGACCAGAAACGTTCCCTTTGACTCTCTCTACCCTAGCCAATCTTAAGCCCCTTCATACCCCCCTTTTCCTAGGGGTATGATATGAATACCTCCTTTGTTGGGTATGAATCCTTCCATTTGAACCACTCTATTGCTCTTAGATCTAAGTTGAAATAGAAATGTCTTTTGGAGGTTGTTTCGAATGGTGAGGATGAGGTTCCACCAGCAGAGAAGCATTTAGAGTCAGGGCTGACTTCCCATTTCTGGTTTCCAACCTCTGTCTCTCAGGTTATTCACAGCTAGGATGTACCTGCTCAGTTATAGGCTCAATTCCAAGCCACCAGAGAAACATTGGTGGCTCCCTTGTCCCCAAGTAACCCTTAATGACCATCTGGTTCCTGCTTTCATCCAGTACTGGAAAATCAAGGAACTTGAGAATATCTTTCAAAGAACTGCTAACTCTCCATTGATTTAAAGAACAATGAATAGGTGTGACCTTTTCAGAAACAAACCTATACACCCATATTACCTCCAGGAGCTAGGACGAATCTCCTTTGATAGTGGACCGCAGAGCCAGCCTGTGGGGGGTGGTACCTTGCCTAAGCAATAACCCACCATCCTAGCTTCTGATAAAACTGCCAGAAGCAGGTTTTCCAAGGTGGCTCTCAGAAAGAAGCTCCTTTCTCAAGCAAGTTTGTTCTCCAAACTCACAGAGCCGATGGGCCACAAGCCTGTGTGTGAAAAGTGTGCACTTCTGCATTCTTGCTGCAAAGGAGACGAAACAGTGGCCAGTTGGCAGTGTCCTTCCTGCTTTGCTAAGCTCATCTCATCTTGTGCTCCCCTGACATCACAGTGGTCCTGACATTTTATAACAGCACAGACATGCCCTTTCGAACTTTGTTTGGCCTTTTGTGATGTTGAGTTTGCCAGGGAAGCTCTGGCTGCCTACTTGTTCTGGGTGAGCAGGAAACCTTACCCGTTCATACATCCTTGGACAGAGTGTGCCCATTAACAGGGTTTTACACTTACTGCCTTCCTGCAAAGGCTATACCCACCACCCACGTCCCTTATCCATGATTTTCCATGCTTCCTGGCTGTTCAGGTAGGACCATCCCACAACTATGAAAACACAGGTGTCTGGGTGTGGAGCTCTGCCCAGCGGGGCCCCACAGCCTTTGGACAGGAATGCATGCATGGAGTGACAGGTGACTACTTTGTATGTCTGTGTCTCTGAGCGCATATGTTTCTGTTTCCTTTTCTGGTAAAATCCTCAAATAGATACAATTCCCAAGGTTCACCCCAGGGGAGAAACGAGCTTTGGGAGTCCACAGACAGAAATTTGGGTAAGTCTCGAAACTAATCCAGGGCCACTGGGTACAGGCTCCTAAAGGTGACTTCAGAGAGTGGAAATACCCCAAACTTTCCTTCCAGACAGTCAGTTGGCCTTAGACGAGGAGGGAGCAGGTTGCCTCGAAAGGGGGCGTCCAGCGTTTGGTAGTTTGGGATATATTCGGGCTGCTGAGTCACACAGGGGCCAGGGCTCCTCTATTCCACCACGCCAGGGGTTTGCAGAGCGCTGGTGTTTGGGAGGCTGACCTGGGTACCCGGGCCTGCGGGGGACCGTGAGAGCGCGGAGGGCGGCCCCGGCGGGACGAGGGCGGAGCGGGCGCCGCTGCGCTGACGGCCGCTGCAGAAAGGGGGCGGCCGCGCCCATTTCCTCCGCTCCGCCTCGGCCGGGGGATCCGCAGCGCGAGCGGCGCCTCTCGGGTGTCGGCTGCGGCGGCTCCCGGACCTGCCGGGCTCTGGCGAGACGCTGCGGGCGAGCTAGCGGCGGCGGCAGCGGACGCTCCGAAGCCCGCCGCGAGGTTGGCGTTCCGGCGGCCCGCATGGACGCGGCACTGAAGCGGAGCCTCTCGGAGGAGCCGGCTGAGCCCCTGCCGCCGGCCCGGGACCTGGAGGAGGAGGAGGAGGAGGAGGGGATGGAGCAAGAGCTGGAGGAGGAAGAAGAGGTGGACCCCCGGATCCAGGTAGGGCGCGCGGGGGCGCCCGGATCCCGGCTCCTCGAGCGCGGGCGCGGAGGTCGGCATCTACACCCACACCCGCCCCGCAGCCCCAGTGCTTGCGGTCTGTGGGCAGGAAGAGCGGCTCTGAATCCTCGGCTTCACCCGGTTCTTGGGGAGGCTGCAGTGCCCGCATGAATACGGCCTGACTAGATTGCGGGGACACCCCCGCAGACTCCGGGCAGGACCCTGGGGTCGCCGCAGCGTGCTCAGTGGATGTGCAACAAAGGGAAAAAGGGGGCGGGGGCGCCATGCGGGTATGGGGTACCCCGCCAAGCTCCCGGCGCCGCGGGCAGTGCGCGGCCCTCGGGCGCGGGGAGAAGGGTCGGCCGCCGGGTGGGCGTTGTCCGCCCTGCAGCGTGGCGGCCTGGCACCGGTGCCCTGGCTTCCCAGTCTTCACCTGGCGCAGGTGCCTGGCCTGAGCCATCTTCCTCCTTGGATTCATTGTTACCAAACTGAAGGGTTTATTGTCACCGCTGGCTCAGCCTTGCACTTGGCCTGAAAGGTTTAAAACCCACCTTTTCCTTGTGAGGCTGAGTGTGAACAGAAATTAGGGACAACTGATGCGCAAAGCTGACTCGGGGAGAAGGTGAGGGGATTGGCCTGGCTCTCTGCACCTCCATTTCTAAAGGAGATGATTAAAAAACAATTTCCCAGCCGAGATCTAGGAGTGACAGCTTAACCTCTTCACCCTTCAAGCAAAAAGCACAGCAAATCCTTTTTCCAAGACCCGTTTTTCTACCCTTCCCATAAATCGTTTTTTAAAATGGACTTACATGCATTATGCACAACCAATGGACACAGACATTATGTTGGGAAAAGCAGAAGAGGGTGGGAGCCGGAGGAGGGGGTCATGGGAGAAAAAAAGGGGAACATCTATAATACTTTCAATAATAATAAAAAAAAATGCTTTAAAGTATGTTTTTCAATTCCTGGAGCCCTAATTGGTTTTACAGTGCACAGATCAATTAAAAGCTCATTTAACTCAGCTATTTCAATTTAAATGAATAGTTTTGGCAGATTAGCAAGATAAAAGATCAAGTGGGAAATGTTTGCATTAGAAATTTTATTAAAATCATCAGTTTGAACTGTTCTCTTGTTTTCTTGGTTCTGGAATTCTGTTAACAAGATCCTTTGTTTGCATAGTAAAATGAGTTAACTTCATGCTGGCTACTTTTTACAGAATTTCATTATGTAAATGTTTATTTAAAGATAGTTTGTGTGTTTTTTAAAAGCTAGTTTTTAAAAATAGCTACCTAGGGAGATTGAATAATTGGCAGTTTGAAGAGAAGAGATTTTCATCTTTATAGAAAAATACTCAACCACCAATGAGTTAATGCCAGAATTCTGCCCTTGATTGAAAACATTTCACTGGGTTTATACTTTTGGGTTGGCCTTGTTTATTTCCTTTTATTATCTTCTGCAGAGTTCTTGCTATAAGGCAGAAGGCAATGGTTTTGATTTGGTCCCTAAACCATTTGTAACAGGTGGGTTTACCTGAAGGCACAAACCTGGAATAAATATTTGACCTTCTAAGAAAAGACAAATTCCTGGGACCTTATGACATTTCAAATCAAGAAAAAGTTTTCAGAAATGCTGACATGAATTTGCTTTTCTGGCTGAGGCTCAGCTATTTTCCTTGAGAATTAATACTGACTTGTCCCCCTCTTCCCACAAATTGTGCTGGTGTGATTTTGCAGGTAGTGGGCTGAGTCATAGTGGAAACAAAGGAAAATCCCTTAAATCTTTTTTTTTTTTTTCTTCCTCTTTTCTTCTTTAGGGAGAATTGGAGAAATTAAACCAATCCACGGATGACATCAACAGACGGGAGACCGAACTTGAGGTATGGAAAGCCGGGTCCCTGTTCTTGTTGAAGTGGGCAGTCCCGCGGACACCAGAACGGTTAATTTTGTTTTAGTAGCTGGAGGGTGGTTGCTGGCCTCCCCTTCTCGAGGTTGAGCAATAGCCTGCTGCCTGACAGAATAACGCACACCACTGAGCCCAGCTTGTGGGTGGATCGCATATGGATCCAATTTCACATGTTGTTTTTCATCTTGGAAGCTCCATAGGGCCAAAAACCAAGGACTTGACACACGTGTAAGCCCTGAAGTTAATATGTCTGTGGAAGAGCTGAAGAACAGAGGGCGAAATGAGCTGAACTCTTTAATGGAGAAGAATAAATTAGCTCACAAAATCTGGTCAGTGTTTCCAGGCGGGTCCTTACGTTGTACTTGGAAACCTTGTGTGTTTCCTCAGGCTCAAACCTTTTTGACTTTCTTGCTCTAATAACTCACCCCCTTCTGCTTCCCTGCTCATGTCTTTATTGTCTGCTTGGTGTAGAATATAATTATCTTAATGGTAAAGAAAAACTGTTTTGACTGGGAAGGGCTTTCCTGCTGGGAAGAATCTTGAGAGACTAGAACTTGATTTGAATTTCATGAACATCTTCCAACCTGAGTGTAAACAGATTAGCATTCTTCACAGCTACCAATTAGTCCCTGTGCTTTTTCAGTTGAGGTTGGTTTCACCATCCATCAGCGGATTTGAACAACTCCCGCGTATAACGAGAGCCTGTGAGTGACTGTCAGCTGAAGGAGTGCAGGGAGCTGCTGGGAGGGCCTAGTTCTGTAGCAGAAGAAATCACAGGGGAGGTTGATGGAAAGGGTGGGACGCATCTGGTCCCTATAGTGAGGGTGCAGAAGATAGGAATGTAATCTACCAGCCACAATACACTGGCAACCTTGATTTCTGGCTGCCTTCCGTGCGTAGGCCCTGGAGGTACCAAATCTGGATGTGGGAGTGGGGATTAAAAACTTGTTTTTCGGAGCTGTGTGTGAAGGGTTAAAGTCTTTATTGCAATAGTAGGAATCTGTGAACACTGGCTGCCCTTCTCCCTCAAGTGGGGTAAAATCTGAGTGTTTGTTTAAATTCTTTTCACTTAGGATGAATCGAGTCCTTTTGTTGGGCAATTGAAATCTTTTAGAATCTCAGATCTCATATTCTACCATCCCAAGCAGGAAGACCAATTGGAAATAGTGTTTATTTTTTTCAAAGGACTGATTGATTCATTCATTCAACAAACATTTGTATGCCTACGCTGCGCCGGCCGCTGTTCTGGTAGCGCTTACTTACCTTCTGGGGGTACAATTGTTTCATCTGTTAAACTCTTTTTAGCCCTGATTTCCGAATGCTTTTCTGAATGCTTAGGTGTTTGTGTGTCACAGGAAGCCATGGGACAGGTGTTTCCTGCCTTGCTCTGGAGCGCACTTGGCAGCAGCAGAGAGGTGGTCAGAGCTGGCCTGTGTCTCTGGCTGACCTTTTCATGGTATTATTGTAACCAAGATGAACTCAGAAACATAACGCAAGCTCCGTAAGCAATTCAAACTTCCTAGTAACCACATTAAGAAGTAAAAAAAAAATAGCTGGAATTAATTGTGATCGATTTCATTTAACCCAGAATGTTCCAGATATGTATAATTCTAACATGGAATCATTATTAAAAGTCATTAAGATATTTTACAGATATTTTTTATATGAACTCTTCAAAATCTTGTGCCTATTTCACACCTAGAGCACATATCAATTTTGACCGGCCACTCATAGCTACATGTGGCACCCGTAGCCCAGGACCAACAGGTGTTTGCCGTCAGTCTCCAAAGGAGCGGTGGGGTTTTGCCCTCAGTGCAGGCTCTCTGGATGCTTGTCATGCTCCTGGAGCCAGGAGGAGAGTTGGGTGTCACTGTGTGTCTGTGATGGGCTGTTCTCCTTCAGTCAAGCCCTGGGCACCAACCTTGCATCAGGCACTTTTTTGGGGGCCACTGCACACACGTGGGTGAACAAGGCAAAGGTCTCGCCCTCAGGGAGTTTACATTTTTGATGGGGGTGAGGAGTGGAGAGGTAGTTGATAATTACCGATTGTAATAACTACAATATAAGAAGGATGGGACAGGCCTGTAAGAGAGGAGCCACCGGTAGATGGCCGAGCAGAGCCTGCAGAATGAGAGCCCATGTGCAGAGTGTGGCAGGTGGCGTGAGCAGCGGGGGTGGCAGAGAGGAGCGTGCCAGAGGATGTGGGACAGGAAGCAGAGCATTTTGATATACGGTTGGTTCTCGTCCTTCGTGGTAGTTGTTTTCTACAAAGTCGCTGTGAACATTGGATTAGTGCATCCTGAACCTTTGCTCCCAGAGGGGAAATGTGACCATAGGCTTGCAGGACCCTCCCACGCTAGGGTCCTGGGAGCCTCCAGTCACGTTTATGTCAATGGATTAGTACATTGTTTTGTGTGTTTCTGTTTAAAGACACCTTATTGCTCTATGTTATTGATGCATTCATGTTGAACTCACGGGCAGCAGCACAGAGCCTCATGCCTGAAAGGGGCCTGTTTAACACACGAGTTCTCTGCAAGGCCCAGCACAGCCTCCTTGGGCTCAGGAACACCGGACATCCACACACACCACACCACCCACCACACCCACACAGCACTGGGCTCGGAGACCATTTCAAACAGCAGATCACACACAAAAAGCACAAAAGTGCAAACACCGTGGCACTGAATGGACCGTGTAAAGGTCATTTGTTCACAGTGTGAGAGCTGAAACCAGAAGGCAGAGAGAGGGGTCTCCTTTGCTTGACCTCGGCTGGGGACACACACATTGGGCAACTCAGTTTCTGTTGCTCTGTGCATATCCACGAGGGTTGATTTGGAGTTATGAGTCAATTTTAGTAAGTACGGAATTTGCAGATAACGAGGATTGTTTGAAATAATTTCGAAGCCTCGAGAGAGCGGTCTTATGCTGTCCACATTTCCTTGTCGCTTCACTTTTGATTATGGTCTGGAGTGCCCAGCGCCCCTCCTGACTCTGAGTCTGCTTAAAGTGAATTGGTGGCCAGGTTTGTGGCAGCTGCTGTTTTGCTCATAGAACGTGGCTTGGTGCTGTCTGGGCAGCCGTAGGCCGAGGTGCAGGCCTGGATTCACCTTTAGTGTCCCATTCGGCTCTTTAAATCAGAGGTTACAGGAAGCCGCTGGATGCCAGCCACCTGCATGGCGTCAGCTGGATGGCTGCAGCCTCGCTTTGCCTCTGACCTTGTTTGAACAGGGCTGTGTCCCCTTTGCACTCTGATTGCGATCGAGAGGGCCAGCCTTTCCAAGCTGGTGACGGGAGTGACCTTTTCACCAGAGAGGCCCTTGGGTACAAGCCTCATGTTTCAAATGAAGAAAGTACATGTATTTTCCCACAGACACATCCTTGAGTATTTATTAAGCACCTACTGTGTGCTAAGGGCAGTTTTAGGCGATAGGGAGAGAGCAGTGGAGAGAATGGACAGAACTCCCTGTCCTGATGCTTATACTGTGAAGGGGGAGGAAGTGCAGTTAACAGTGAACACCAGTCACAGTGGTTACATAGTGACATGTGCTAAGGAGAAAAAGGAGTCAGGAAGGGCCTTGGCAGTGTGGTATTTGTGGGGGAGGAGAGGGTGGAGAGGTCAGTGTTATAGATAGTGGGTGGGAAAGACTCCCTGAAAGCTGTCTGGAGAGAGGGAGCCTCCGTGCCCTGCGAGGGAAGAGCATTCCAGCCACAGGGAACAGCCAGTGCTAAGCCAAAGGTGTGGCCTGAGGACCAAGCAAGGGGAACCGGTGTGCTGGGGGTGGTGTGAGCGAGAGATAGAAGAGGAGGGATTTAGAGAGAGAAATGGGTCATTCGGGTGAGGAGGAGGAGGAAGAGGAAGGAGACAGGAAGGACACAGGCCTAGTTACCCACATACAGCTGTTCTGGCTCCCAGCGATCAAAAGCTGCCTTTTCCACCCTGCCCGTCCCCAGGGAGCCAAGCAGTTAGTGGTAAATGTTCACGCTCTGTTCCTCACTGTTCGGGTGGGGACAGTTTCTGGGCAGACTTGTCGGGTGGTTAGAAAAAGCATCTGATTCTGTGTATCTGTGTTTCCCAACGTGCATAAGGCCTGCACCCAGAACCTGCCTTTTCTCCTCTTCAGAAACAAGCAAATATTTTCTCTTAAGAATAAAGTTTGAGCTTAGAAACTTGGAGGTGGGAGACGGGAGGCAGTAGTGAACTGGAAGCAGTATGGCTTCTCTCTAATGAATTATTAACACAAGTCAGGGAAGACAGGAATTCTTCCCTGAAAAGATAGTGTTGTCACATGTTAGCACTTTGTCTTTCGAGACCCATGTGGTGTGTGTATGTTGTGTATATGTTGTATATGTGTGGTGTGTGGGTTGTATGTGTGGGTTGTATGGTGTGTGTGTGTGGGATGTGGGGTGTGTGTGTGTGATGTGGGGTGGGTGTGGTGGGTGGGGGATGTGGGGTGTGTGTGGGTGTGGTGGGTGTGGTGGGTGTGGTGGTGTGTGTGTGGTATGTGTGTGTGGTGTGGGTGTGGTGTGTGGTGGTGTGTGTGGGTGGTGTGGTGTGGGTGGTGTGGGGGTGTGTGGGGGTGTGTGGGTGGTGTGGGTGTGGTGTGTGTGGGTGGTGTGGTGTGTGTGGGTGGTGTGTGTGGGTGTGGGTGGTGTGTGGGTGTGGATGGTGTGTGGGTGTGTGGGTGATGTGGTGTGTATGGGTGGTGTGTGTGTGGGTGGGGGGGGGTGGTACATGAGTGGATGCATACTGGGGAAGGTCCTATAAGACTCCAGTTGTGTTTTGAAGAAAGTTCTAGAGAACGTTTGAACTGATAAATGTATGAGGGGAAGTGAGGAATAACTGCTTCTTGAAACTGGCACCAAATTCCAGGCCTGGTGGCAGGCTGCCCAGTCCGGGCTGGGAGGGGCTCTGACCTCTTTGTACTCAGGTGGGGTCTGGTCCCAGTAAACATGGGCCTGGGGGCATTCCTGTCA